TTAACACCATTTACATCAAAAGGGAATTGATTTCAAGATAGTTTTCTTATTGTTTTTGGTTCAAATATTTGTTTATTTTAATATGATTTCATTTTAGCTTACATTTGGGTGAATTTATTTGATATAACTCGAATGAATTATTATCGGCAAGCCAATTCAATTAATTTAATTTTAATTTGAATCTTAATTTGCATAGCAAATTTGCATGTCATAAGAAACATAGCTAGTCGTCATTTGTTCAATTGATTTGATTTATTATGTTTTGAAATTACAAAGACCTTGAGGTGATTTGTGAATTCAGATCAAGAGAGGGCCAAAAGAGGCTGGCATACTCTTTAAGAATTTAAATTTTATCAAAGTATGGTTCTAAATGAATTATAAGTTAAGTTAAGTTCATTTTGAACGAGATGCTTGATTAATAATGTTTAATTAGATATAACAGTTCCAAATTGTCATTATTTGGTTGAATTAGTCAAATTGGGTTAACTAAGTCACTTGGCACAATAACGATTTAAGTTATAGTTCAAAGGCTTTTAAAATAAGTGTTAACGCATTACATTATTTTTTATTCATAAGTTCAAAATCCTAAGTGGAAATTCAAGGGTGACAAAGGATCTATATGAGATTTAGGTTCCTAAATTCCAATGAATTGATTGATGTCAATTCAAATTCATTGAAATAAGCTAAATACCCTCTTAAGTTCATTTTAAGTTAAGTGGAATTGATAGTTTGATTTTAGGTTTGTGTTCACTCACAAACTAATCTTTTAGGAAAGCCTACTAAAATAATTATTAATACTATATCCGAGAGTCTAAGGATAGGACTGAAGGGCAGTTGTAACAAACTCAATAAAATTGAGGACAACATTCCTATGAGCCAACATTGGCAAAATTAGCCATGAAATCTTTGAGTGCTTGCACTTTGATAGTTACCATGCCTTAGTAGAAATTTTTTAATTAGCTAAGCTCCATATCCCATTTGTTAAATCAACATGAATAATCAAGCCTGCAGAGTATTGACTTTAAAGGATGGTCAATAATTACTTGAACCAGATGAGCTTGAATATATGTTTAAGTTTTTGTTAACTATATTAATTAAAGTAAATTCAAGTTTATATCAAATGGAGTAATTGTGTTTAGTAACTCTTAGTATTTTGCTAACATATTAGATTAGGAATTGCCCTTGATCTATCTATTATGCACTATGCTAACTGCTTTTCTGCTTACATCAAAGTACACCAAAAAATCATTTACAGGTTTAAGAATCACAAAAAAAAATGGAAATTTGATGAGAAATCTTTTTTGCACTCATCATTCCAAGTTAAACACTAGGCACTTCCTAGCACTTTGAAGACTATTGGGCACTTGTGGCTTGAGTTGGAGATAAATGTGGAAATTTGATGAGAAATCTTTTTTTGCACTCATCATTCCAAGTTAAACACTGGGCACTTCCTAGCACTTTGAAGTCTATTGGGCACTTGTGGCTTGAGTTGGAGATAAATGAGTTCAGCCCAATAATTCAACCTGCTAATTCATATAACTCCTTGATATTCTTAGGGGAAGACTTGTTGAGAATAATTCATATATATCCTTAATATTCTTAGAGGAAGGCATGTTGAGAATAGCTTCAACCATATCTAGATTCATGTTGATACTGTTGGGTGCTAGTAACAAGATAAGAAATTTGTTAGTTCAAGCTTTAAGTGTACAATATAATAAGTTGAGCATCATATTAATTTTTTAAAATGTATTAAATGCTTCTTTTAGTTCAATGGTATAATATTTATTCATTTTACTATTATGATTACCCCTCAAGATTTTTTTTCTTTTTGTATTTAATAAGTAATTGATCTCTAATAACAATAAAATATAAGCAAATGGAAAAAATTGACTCATGCGCTTTAGTCGGGCTACACATAATGCACCAAAGATTGAATGAAATTTTGGCTATGCATTGTCACTCCAATGAATGACTAACTATTGGGGGTGTAAAACTTCACCTATTTTCTCCACTCTTCTAGGTCTTTTTTGCTGCATTTTTAGTGAGCTTTATTTTTTTATTCTTCAGAAGATTTCAAATTTGTCGCCCCTCTAAGGTCAATTAAAACAATCCTCTAGTATTTTTTAATATAGTAATTATAATTTAAAATTTATATTAAATTTTTATTTAAATTACTTGCACACTAATTACAATTTAAAAAGTGCATTGAGTAATTAATTCAGTATAATATCAAAGAATTTTACAAATAAAGTTAAATGTACAAGTAGAAGAAAAAAAAATAAAATTTAATTTATATTAAGATGAGATTATACCCATGAGAATTAAGCAAGATGACCATTATAATATGCATTCACACAACTAAAAATAACTAGTTATATAGGTAAATACTAAATATAAACTTTATAAATATTCCAATAAACATGCTCAAAGCACTAACCATAATTTAAAATTTATTAAAAACTAAATGTTAGTTATAAAATAATAAGTTAAATATTTATCAAAACAAATTTATAAAATGTAAACATTATAAACTTTTGTTAATTCAAACATGTACTAATTTTGTTAAACTAATCGTAATTTTATCAAATATGTAATATCTTTTTTATAGTTTGTTTAAATGTATGTTATACACAAAACAATATAAATCATGGAATTACAACAAATTTTTAGGATACTATTAATTCATTAAGTAAAATTCACCTACCAAATACTACTAAGTGTTAGCAAAATTATCAATAAAAAAACATAATTAGATAAAATTAACAAGAGTTTAAAGGTGTAATAATACAATTAGAGCGTATCTTATACATAATAGAGCTTTTAAAATTGTAATCCTAAATTAAACAATGCACCCATATAAACACTATGCAAATAATTCAAAATACAATAACTACAAACCAGGAGTTTGCATATTAATAGCATTAAATTAATAATTAGGAAAAATCTATTTTATAAAATGATACATTGATATTATCCTAAAAAATTGAATAAATAATTTCCTAAATATCGGAAAATGTCTATTAATTCAACTCACAATGATGCTCATATTACATTATCAAGAAGAATTCACAAGTTTTGGTTTTGTTGTCATTTTACGATCGGCAATTGATTTTAGTGGATAATTTTTCCATATGATATATTGAGAGTGTCGTCATTCACTTCTAGGGATGTCAAAATGGCTCGTTGTTCGCGAACAGCTCGTGTTCGACTCGTTAAGAAGCTCGTGTTCAGCTTGTTCCCTAAGTTAACGAGGCGAACATGAACAAAAATTTGTTCGTTCATGTTCGGCTCGTTTTGAATCGAAATATTACTCATCAATTATATATATATATATATATATAAATAGATTGATGAGTAGTACTTTTAAAAAATTTAATTGACAACAAGACTATAAAGATTTATAATCAACTAAAAGTAAGAATTAAGAAAATAGAAACAAATTTATTAAATTAGATTCAAATGATGTTTTAATATAAACAATAATTTTTAAATCTTGCCCCAACCGTTGACATCTTATGGCTACATTATTAAGGTTGTCAAAACGACTCTTTGTTCGTGAACAGCTTGTGTTCGGCTCACTAAACAAACGAGCAGAACACAAACACACTTTTTACGCTCGAAATATAAACGAACCGAACACCAAACACGTTTACACCCCCATTCACTTTGAGTTTTTACGTAGTCAATTTTTTATCAGCCATGTCACCGAGTTATTCTTTCTTTAGATATTGATTAAAGCATTAGTACTGCAAATATGATTTTTTTTTTTCATCGAGATAAATTGAATTTTATTTTTATATATGTATTTCTAATATCTTAGCATTTATCTTATTTATTAAAATTATTTTCCTTGAAAATATTTGACAAAATTAAATTTCAACAAAAACAAATAAATAAAGCCCTTACTAAAATTATTAAATCGCCAAAAATACATGAAAAATCTTACTTCAAATTTTGAATTTAATCATTCTTACAAAAATTTAAACTAAAAATTTTCCCTCTCAACCTTTAAAAAAATGTTATTAATTTCACTAAATATTTCTAAAATAATTTTTTTTATAATTGCACAATCAAAACTTAATAGATATTCACTATTTCAATTTTACTAATTATTAAAATATTATAATTATTTAATAAACTCATATCATTATATGTAAAATCGATCTCTAAATTATAAAAAAATTATTAATTTTTATTTTTTATTTCCTTATTAATTTTTATTTTATTTTAAGATTATATCTCAATCAAAAAGAAAAAAAAACAGTAATTTCATAATCTTTTCATTAAAAAAAAAAAGTATGCACATTGCTGCCGTCTCAAAACATCGACAATGTCAAACATAATATTTCTTAATTAATTTTTTTCTAATTTTGAATTTTAAATCTATGAATTCTTCAAAATTTCATCCATTCATAAACGGACAAAAGAGAATAACAACCGTGAACCCAAATCTGTCTTCAGATGGCAAACCCTATTTGTCATATGAGCCCCTATTCTGTCAGGACTCCTAACATAAATAATCATTCGGAGCTCAATGAAATCACGTCATGTGACGGTGACAGAAAAAAAATAAAAATCGGTCCGGTAATACAGGAATATTCCCCATGTGCTATTCCGAATTATTCTGGTGTTATTATATATTATTCAGGTATTATTATGTTCTAGGAATATTTTAAATGTTATAATCACAAAATAACACATTAATAACACTTGAATAACAAACAATAATACATGAATAACACGAAAGTAATATTATCTTATGTTACTAGGCAGATTTTTTTTTTATTATCATCATCAGGTGGCATGATTTCATTGAATTTTGAATGATTATCTATGTTAAAAGTCCTGACAAAATAATTTTTATTCATCATCTATGTATACGTTTACCTGAAAAAACTGTGGACCCCACCGTCGTGGCCATTTGTAAGTGAATTCTTCGATAACAAAATGTCTGAGGCTATCCCTCCCCTTTATAATAATTTCCTCCCACCTCATAAACCCTAACCCTAATTCCAGGCGTCGGAGATGATGAAGCTTCTCTGCTGCACATCTCGCGGGGAAAACGAAAGTTCCAACAAGTAAGTACAGTTCGAAGTGTTAAATTTCAGATTTTGGATCACAAATCCATTAAGTTTATAAATCAAAACATTGTTTGGAAACTGCAGTTTGCTGGGGTCTAGCGGCAGCCATGAGTTCCCATGGGAGGTTTTCCGGCTCAAGGATATCCTCCACGCTACAAACAACTTTCATGATGATTACAAGCTCGGCGAAGGCGGCTTCGGGACGGTTTATTGGGGCCGCATCGGCGATGGGTCGGAGGTGAGATCCATCGTTGATCGATTTAAGAAAAAAATCCAGCTTTTTACAAAGAAAAAAAAAAACATTCACCTTTACAGAGATTTGTTGCTCTAATACAAAATAAGAATTTTCAGTCATGAAAATATTAGCGCTGACCATTTATAAACAATTTTAAAATTGTGAAACTCTTGAATAGCGCAACTATTTTAACTGTTTGGGATAACTTATTTGGTGCGGTGGCGTTTTGAAAATGCATTAGGTCTGTTTGGATAAATTGTCTTTTAGTAGCTTATGCATTTTCAAAATACTGAAAATAACATTTTCTCACCGCACAGTATTCTGGTTGCAGTCTGATTTTTTCAAAAAAATAATAAAAATTTGTAATAGTCACCACAAGTAGCTTATCAGTAGATTATTTCTGATCAGCTTATCAATAAATTATTCAATAAGCTACAGCTGCTCCAAACAGACTAATGTTACCTGAGTTATTAAATGTTTTTGGTCTAGAACTAAAGATGTAACATAAAAAATTAGAGGGCAATTTACATACATACCGCACAATTCTTTTATATGTACATATCTAACGAACAAACTTTGATATTTACATGCATAACACTCAAATATATTTATAAACAGTTTTAAAAATTGTGAAACTCTTGAATAGCGCAACTAGTTTAACTGTTTGAGATAATTTATTTGGTGCGATGGCGTTTTGAAAAAGTATTAGGTCCGTTTGGATAAATTGTCTTTTAGCAGCTTATGCATTTTCAAAACACTGAAAATAACATTTTCTCACCGCACAGTATTCTGGCTGCAGTCTGATTTTTTCAAAAAAATAATAAAAATTTGTAATAGTCACCACAAGTAGCTTATCAGTAGATTATTTCTGATCAGCTTATCAATAAATTATTCAATAAGCTACAGCTGTTCCAAACAGACTAATGTTACCTGAGTTATTAAATGTTTTTTGGTCTAGAACTAAAGATGTAACATCAAAAATTAGCGGGCAATTTACATACATACCACGCAATTCTTTTATATCTACATATCTAACGCACAAACTTTGATATTTACATGCATAACACTCAAATAATTAACATCATGTCAAAAATAAGGATCACTATCACCAACTTTATAAAAGTGGAATACATACCAAAGTGTCATATCATAAATACGACAAATTAAGCATTAGATATGTAAATACAGCAGAACTGTGTGGCATATATGTAAATATTCCAAATTCAATTTTAATGAAGTAATTATTCGACGCAGATAGCGGTGAAGCGGCTAAAGACGATGACGGCGAAATCGGAGATGGAGTTCATAGTGGAGGTGGAGGTGCTGGGAAGAGTGAGGCACAAGAATCTGCTGGGGCTGAGGGGCTATTTCGCCGGCGGTAACGAACGCCTTATTATTTACGATTATATGCCTAACCGCAGCCTTTTAAGCCATCTGCACGGTCATTTTCTGGCCGATGCGCCGCTTGACTGGCAGACACGCATGCGCATCGCCGTTGGATCAGCCAAGGGTATTGCGTAAGTACTCCAAACATTAACTTCTCACTAACAATAATAATAATCATAATAATAATAATAATGATGATTTAGGGTGCAGTTAAGATAAAAATATTTTTTTAAAAAGGAAGCCATAAATGATTTGGCTAAACAGCTCGTGTTCGGCTCGTTTATATTTCGAGCTCAAAAAGTGTTCGTGTTCAGCTCGTTCGTTCGTTTAACTGTCGAACACGAGCCGTTCATGAACAAAGAGTTGTTTTGACAACACTAATCAGGTAGCTATAAGATGTTAAGGATTGGGATAATATATAAAACATCATTTGAATCTAATTTAATAACTTTTATTCTATTTTCTTAATTAATACTTTTAATTGATTATAAATCTTTGTAGTTTAATAGTCAATTAAATTTTTTAAAAATACTACTCATCAAAGATATATATATATATAATTGATTAATAGTATTTCGAGCCAAAACGAGCCGAACACGAACGAACAAATATTAGTTTGTGTTGTTCGTGTTTGGCTTGTTAACTTAGCGAATGAGCCGAACACGAGCTTCTTATCGAGCCGAACCCGAGCTGTTCGCGAACCACGAGCTGCAGTTAATAGATTTTAAATTATAGAATTTGCTTTAACATTTTAAGAGAGAGATTAGAAGATGTAATAACACGCTGATAATTTGTTTGCTATGACATAAACTATGTTTGGATATTGCACATTATTTCCTATCTTCTTTTTTTTCTGGAAATAACTTGGGATTTTCTTGCCAATTGCATTAGTGTTAAACAGATACTAATGAAACCGACGACCAAATGAGATAATAAGAAATATCTCCGTAGCTTTCAAACTTTTGTTTATTTCGTTTAGATTTCTTAGGCGGAAATTCTCATGTACACATAGCATCAAATGGTAACTGCAAAGACAGCTTAAACAGCCTCTCTCCGCTCTCACCATTGCCTTAGGCTAGGGGTGTAAATGAGTCGAACACCAGCGAGCCCAGGCTCAGTTCGTGTTCGGCTCGTTTATATTTCAAGCTTACAAAGTGTGTTCGTGTTCAGCTCGTTTCTCTAAGCAAGCCGTTCACGAACAAAAAGTCATTTTGACAAACCCTAATCACATAGTCATAAGATTTTAATGATTGGGACAAGATTTAAAACATCATTTGAATCTAATTTAATAATTTTTATTTTCTTTTCTTCATTGATACTTTTAATTGATTATAAATCTTTGTAGCCTTGTTGTCCATTAAAATTTTTAAAAATATTACTCATCAAAGATATATATATATATATATAATTGATTAGTAGTATTTCGAGCCAAAACTAGCCGAACACGAACGAATACACGAACGAATATATATTCGTTCTTTTTCGGCTCGTTAACTTAACGAATGAGCCGAATATGAGCTATTCGCGAACAACGAGCCGTTTTGATAGCCCTACTTAGGCCCGACAATTATTAATCGATCCAGCTTGGAGACAAAAACTTGCAGCAGGTTTTTAACGCAAAATAATGAAAATAAAAAAAATACAAGGCTTGACAGGTGGACAGTTTCCTTGATATATTGGAAACCTGGCAAAAATTTCATGGCTGGCGTCCACTAATATCAACAGTGTCATTCGTCAAATACAATTAGCATAAAAAACATTTCAGTTAATTCTGCATGATGACACGCTCATATTTTATTGGTCATTATAGTATAATTCTCTGTAAATGAGTAGGAAAGGTTCCAACTTTCAATGTCAAAGCAATTGGAACATGTATGTATGTAATGCAGGCCTAATGTCATTTGTTGATAGTATTCTAACAAAAAATTATGAAAATTATATTGACTAGAAGAGAATATTAGGGATTAGTTTTACAATCATATTGTAAATCATCTTATAAATGAATATAACGTTTGACAATATGATTGTACAAGAAATTCATATGTATGCAAAATCCGTACATAGAATTTTCACTGACCAGGAAAAACTTTCTGTCTGGACTCCTAACGTAGCTTTACGTGCGAACTCTCAGTAATAATCGTCATGTGTGTTATATCGTGTCCACCTTAAAAATATTAAAGTGAAACCGCAGACTCCGCAATAACCAAAAAATAATCATGGAATAACATCCGCGCTGGGTTTCTCTTCAATAATCCAGAAATAATACCGCGGAGATTATTTCAGAGTTATTTTGGGGTTATTGAATTGGAATATATAATTTCTCTTAAATAACCTAGAAATAATCTTTGCGGTGTTATTTTGAGGTATTGAAGTGAAACCGCGGAGGCTATTTATGGGTTTTTGAAGTGAAATATATGATTTCTTTTTCAATAATTCTGAAATAACATCCATGATATAGCACAAATAACGACATATTATTACAGTCCGCATGCAGAGCTACACAGAATGATTCATTAAATACATAAGTGGCGCATGAGTGAAAGGAATTAGGGAATATTACAGTCTATTATATTTACTTATGCATTATAAAAACTGCTAACTGACCTTGTCCCGCACACATAAAGGTGCCTGCATCACGAGGCAAACCCCCACATAATCCACAGAGATATTAAAGCCAGCAACGTCCTCCTCGACTCCAAATTCCGCCCAAAGGTGGCAGATTTCGGCTTCGCCAAACTCATCCCCGACGACGTCAGCCACGTCACCACAAGAGTAAAAGGAACGCTCGGCTACCTCGCCCCCGAATACGCAATGTGGGGCAAAGTATCCGAATCCTGCGATGTCTACAGCTTCGGCATCCTTCTTTTTGAGATCGTCAGCGGCCGCAAGCCCATCGAGAGGCTGCCCGCAGGCAAAAAGCGAGACATTTTGCAGTGGGCAAGGCCGCTCATGGAGCAGGGGAACTGGGAGCAGCTCGCGGACCAGAGGATGGGGGGGCGGGTAGACAGGGCTCAGCTACAGAGTGTTCTGTTTTTGGCGCTCAAGTGCACGGATAGGGATCCTGACAACAGGCCGCCGATGAAGGAGGTGGTGGAGGTGTTGCGGGGTGGGGATGGGCTTAGGATGAGGCCTAAGGAGGTGGGGAGCAGCAAGGGGGAGGAGGAGGAGGAGGAGGAGGGAGGGTTGGCTGATGCTTTGAGTTGCAGCGTCGATAGAAATGCTGCGGTGGAAATGCGATGAACGAGTTTCTTTGATTTAGAATTGCTCGTCCTGTAATTTTTTTTCTTTTTTGGGGGGAAAAATGGTAAAATCATGAATTTTGCAGCCAGGTTTCTAAATAACTGATTTGGAGGTGTGTCCCATTACTAAATGTTATGGTTTGTGATTCAAATGCGTGATAGTGATGATGCCTGTTCACAATTTGCAGCATTTTTTTTTTCTTTGGTTCTGTTTGATAACTTGATGAATGGTAGATTAGGTAGTTATGGACTGAAATCATATGAGGGGCTTGAGGAAATTCTTACAAGTATGTGATAATTTTCCTTATTGGTGTTTGTCTTAACAAGTAAGGAATGAGATGCAGATTTTATTCTCGTCCCAGCATCAATTTTGCTGTTGTTCCAGGGTCACGCCCCCCTTCATCTAGCGCAAACATTTCAAAAGTCAGGGTTGTATGTCAAATTTGCAATAAGACAAGACATCTCACCATTAAGTGTTGGCATCATCATGGCCAAAACTATCAATTGGCCACGGCTCTAATCACTGATTTTGACTCCCATTCGACTAATTCATAGTGCCCGGGCAGCGAAGCCTCTGAGCATCTCATGACTGATTCAAAGCACTTCTCACGATTTCAACGATACAACGAAGACAACTCTATCACAATCAGTAATGGACAACAACTCTCCATTGCTAGCACTAGATAAGGTCTTCTACCAAATCAGACATGTAGGTTATTAATTACTTATAGGTACTCATCATGTACATATATAATCTTGCTTACAATCTTTTATTATTAAACAAACTTCTACTAACTCCCGTGCTTTTATTTTCACGGCTAAAGGATATGCTATCAAGGATTTACAGACCAGCAAAATAATTCTTAAAGGATCATATGTGCAAGGCCTCTCCCCCTCCATTGGATACCTCTTCAATGCAATCACTTGCTCTTCTCATAGTTCGATAAGTACCAAATTTCTGGCATGGAAGACTCTATCATCCCAGTCGTCAACTTCAAAAATCTCTTATGAGTTGTATTCCTTCTCTTCATCATCAGCTTCAGAAATTCAATTGTACTTCATGTCACTTGGCTAAGAGTCAAAAATTACTTTTCTAGACTTATACTTCTTAAGCTTCTCATCCACTTGATATCATACATTCTGATGTATGATGCTCATCCCCAATTTTTTCTTTGCAATTTTTCATATATTATGTTGCCTTTGTAGATGATCATACACATTTTCCTTGCATTTAATTACTCAAATATTAAAACTGGAACTGGAATTTCTCATTAATATACTTTTCCATACACACCAAAACTGGAACTCCGAAAATTTTTATTAAATCCAAGCAACTTGTTCAAAATCAATGCAATACTCACATTAAAATTCTAAGAACTGGTGGGGATGGTGAGTAGATTAATAATAGCTTCAAAACCTTTCTTAAAAATTATGGAATTTCTCATTAATATACTTTTCCATACACACCCAAATAGAATGGTGTTGCTGAAATAAAACAATGGCATCCTCTAGAAACAACTTGTACTCTGACGCATGAGGCTTTGTTACCTCATACTCTCTGGTTGATATCCTTCTAGCTACATATTATCTAATTAATAGGTCACCTTAAAAAATAACTCAATTTTAATCTTTCTATGAACGTCTCCATGATAAATCTCCTACTTATAAATATCTTAAAGTCTTTGGATGTCAATGCTTTATCTGGCTCCATCGTTATTCACAACATAAACTCTCTCCCTTTTTTTTTATCAAAGTGTTTTCTTAGGATTTTATGCCAACCAAAAAAGTTATAAATATATAGGTCCTCAAACATAGAAAATCTACATTTCTAGAAATTTCATATTTAATGAAAGCATATTATCATATCAACACATATCGTCATCCTACACCCTCACATCTTCACCTCCATCCCATCCACCTCCTCTCTCGTTAGTTCCTACTTCCTCCATCCGCCCATCTTTAAGTTGACCCAATAATCTTTACACCTTATCTATTAAACTAGTCAAACAACTTGTTCTCTCCACATAACTTCACTCCATCTAGCCTACTTACTCAAATATCCCTCATTCTTCCTCCCAATCAGTTCAAACCCTTCACTCTCCTCTATCTTCCCATCTTTCACTTCCCATTCCCAATCATCACATAAATACTTGCTCCAAAATTGGACACCTTAAGCTTAAATAAATCTTTAATCTCGCCCACCAATTACATCCCGCTTGTTATATTGAATCTATCAAACATCATCACCAGTGTAAAGCTATCCCAAAAGAATTTTAAGCCTTATAAGCTCAAGTTACCTAGGTCCTTTTTCCTCCTTCCTCAAACCAAAATCTTTTTTGTTGTAAATGAACATACAGGACTAAACATCATGAGGATGGATCTGTTGCTCGTTACAAAGTTTGACTAGTTGCTCAAGGGTTCAAACACCATTTTACTTACTACACACCTTCAGTCATGTCGCCAAAAATGCCTAGAATTTGGGTTCTCTTCACCCATGTCATCACCAATGATTGGTTTATTCTTAATTAGTTGGATATCTAAACTGGATTCCTTCATGGTCACTTAATTGATACTATTCATATGAAGCAAAATCTAAGTTTCATGGATCACACCAATCCTCACTATGTTTGTCACCTCGAGAAAGCTTTACATAGTCTTAAACAAGCACTTTGATAGTGGTTTACCACAATCAATCTCAAGCAACTGAAATTCGGTCCTAATAATGCTGAATTTTTTGACTTTACTACATAAAAGAAATGTTCACTTCAATCTTCTCATTTATGTTGATGATATTTTCTTCACTGGGAATCATAAGAAAAAAACATTAATCTTATCCTCCAAAAACTTCAACAACAATGTACGATAACAAAATTTGGGTTCCATTTTCAATTTCATTTGTCTTACGACCCTTCCTACTTCATCTACTCTTCAACTTCATCAAGCCACCTATGCTAATCAGCTACTTCATACGTCTGACATGATCAATGCTAAATCAGTCCAAATCCATTTACCTCTTGCTAAAACACTTCTATACCCAATGTCACTCCATATTGTGATCCTCCTTCTATAGGAAATTTCTTGGATACCTGAAGTATCTCACCATTACTCGACCTGATTTGTCATATGTTGTCAATCAAGCTAATGAAGCAATGCATCGACCTACCCAACATAAATTTCAATTGTTGATGCATAGCTTTTGATATATTCTTGTCACTCAAACTTCAGCTTACATATATCATAAAGTAACCTTGATTTAACATCGATCCTATGTTGACTCTAATTGGTTTGGAGATCTGTCGGACCTCAAATTCATCACATCTTATTATATTATTCTTAGCTTTACTCTTATTTTCTTATCTGTTAAAGAGCAACAAACTATAGCTTGTTCCTTCACTACAGTCAAATATTGTATCATTGATACTTCTGCTATTGACATCATTATGTTGCATCGTCTATTACATGACTTTCGAACTTCAACTACTGAACCTATTATTTTATATTATGGCAATACCTCAAAAATTGCTCTTGCCAATAATCTGGTGTTTCATGCTAGGACCAAGCACATGAAATTTAGCTGCCACTACATCAGATAATGTATTCAAAAAAATCAAATTATTGTTCACCACATTAACTCTACAAATCAGCTCACATATATCTTACCAAACCTCTCTTCAATAGTTGATTCCAAGAACTTAGCTCCAAACTAAAATTCTCTTCAATGGATTCTTCAATTGAGGGAGGATGTTAGCATTTACAGAATTTAAACCACGTTTGTTATCTTATTCTTTGGGTTCAAATTACCCAGGTTTCATTTATGTATAAATAACTGAGTGACTTAGTTTTGAGAATAATAGTAATGTATGCTTCTGCGTTCCATCATATTCAGAGCCTTCCTTTCTTCTAGTTTCCTACCTTCTTTTATGTTTCTGTTCTGTCTTCATGTTGTATTTGAAGAAGGTAAGAAAATCTTTCAAATATTTATTTCAAATGAAATTAGCCTTCTCATATTTATTAATTATTCATTACAGTCCATCATAAGTTGAATGGAAGAAATGTTCAAATCATTGCTGAAAGCATGCCTGAATGATGTGTGAATCTTATTTGAATCATATATAACCCATAAATATATTTTGCTATAAGCTTGCTCAAAACATGATCTAATGATGCTTATAAATAACTTGAGCCTTAATAAAAAATTGTTAGAATCAAGCCAGAATTATGCTCACATCTTACTAGTGTCAAATGGCAAAATAGTGTTCTTATTAGACAATAGGGATAAAAACATAGAAAATATCTTTAGGTATGACTTTATATATATATATA